CTCAATCTTTGGGAAAGGAAGACACAAAAGAATTATGTAGACTACTTAGGTAATCAGGAAGAGAATTCTAGGCTCCAGAAATGTATTATAAGATGTAGATGACAGAGTAAGGTTAATGTTATTATATCCTTTTTCAATAGACCATTTAAAAGTAGGCAGAAAAACAAAACACAATAAAACAAAAGGTCTGAGCAGCCAATTTGAACAGGCCTAGGATGATCAATTCCAAAGAATGGCACACATCGAAGTGATGTCAGCCCGCCTCAAATTTCAGAAGCAGGTGAAAATTTCATTATGTGTCTCATTACTGTAGACTCTGTGGCTCCCGGAACTAACTAACGACTTTATACAGATACTGGCACAAGAGCAAAACGTAAGTTTGATGCCTGTTATTACTTCACAATGTACCCAGCATGCTTTGCTCACATGGAGACTCCCAATGACCTCCGTTGCTCTGGGGCTGTTACTGCCAGTGTCAAAAGACCTTCCAGAATGCATCTGCTCTGGGGACCTGACAGGCACACCCGTAGTTGCCAAAGGAAGAAGGAGGTGAAGCCTTTGTCACCGCAGACCAAAGTTGAGCCATCACTATTATAAATGTGCTAATCAGTGTGGTCTGAGAAGGATTTTTCCCCCAAGGGACGAGCTTTTAAGATGACAAATAGTTGTTTCTATTTAAATGTACCTTTCCCCTTCCGGCAGCATGCATTCCATTCCAGTATCATCACTTACTCCGAGCTGTCCGGGCTGCGGCTCCCCCTAGACCCCACAGCCCACAGAGAGATCCTGCTGAATGGCTAGGAAAGTCACTTCCAGCTCTTGCCCTTCCTCCCAGGCATGACAATGATGGCGACGACCCCACCACCCAACAGCTGTCAGGTGCTGCATGCCTCTGTGTCCCTGGTCCTCCTGGGGAGCCTCTCTCCGCCAGTTGCGACAACAGAGCTTCAAGGCAGCCGGTCCGACCGAGGCCTGCCACTGACTTGATCTTCCTCCTCAGGCGTCAGCAGCTCTGAAAGAATAGGTCAAACCACTGAGGACAGGCTCGGGCCAGCCAGATCATCTGCTCTAAAAACAAACAGAAGTTCAAGGACTTGACATCATTTAGGCGGTACGTGACGGCAAAAATAGCCTTGACAGAGCTTCAGGAATTTTCCACTTAAAATGTTTAGAAGCAAGTTTATACTCCTTCTTATTTCTGTCACGAGTCTAAGAATTCAAACTGAAAAGCATCATGCAGGAAAGGACAACATTTCTGAACAACACGCCGTCTTGAAAATGAGCTACGTGGAAACCTAGAGTCACTGCAGTTGTGCCTGTCCCTTTCATAGTGCCTGCCTGACCCCCTTCTCTTAGCTCCTTAAAATATGGAACGAACAAGGCCAAGGTTTCGGGTTTGCTTCCCAAGTGAGGAAGTTACCATCAGAGGGAGAAAGGGGAAAAGTCTTCACTGATAGCAGCGTACACCACTCCCGAAAAAGCAAGTCCATGTGCTTGCCTTTGGGCCAGGAGGCGCGCGCCATCACCTCTCCAGGTGACAACAGCACGGAAGGACACCGCTCTGGATGGTCGCTGGAGGCAATGGCCACGCAGAGCCCAGGCACCACAGGCAGGGACAAGCCACAGGTGGGGCCCGTGGGGGCCGTCGCTGGCTCTGCCAAGGTCACTTGCACGGGCCTTCTGCGTCTTTGCCTCCCGCCCCACGGCGTGTTCCCATGCACTCCCACAGCACTGGCTGGGCAGCCAGGGGCAGTGAGCGGCAGCATGGGGGGAGGACTGTTTCGTTCTTCTGGAGGCTTGAGGCCATTTTTCATTCTTTCTGACCCTTTTGGGTAAACAGATCCAGAGAACCCTTTGGACTCAACCGCTTTGCTCTTCTTTCTCCTCAGACTCTCACCGGTCTCTCTGCCCACCTGCCAAGCCTGGGGAGAGGGTGGTTGTCAAGCCAGGGCAGGGTCTCTAACCATTTCAGGTGCTTTAACCCAACCTCAGGGCTGACACACAAGGGCTCAGTGAAGGGAGACACGAAGGGAGCAGGGATGGAAGGATGGGCGGGTAGATAAACACGTGAAAGGAAGTGACTTTTCTCAAAGGAAAATGCAGGTGCTCTGTTGACAGTCGGCTGGATTGGCTCCATCTGAAAAGGGTGAACATGATGGGGTGAGAAATGGGGCGTTAGCCCTGGTGGCTGCTGCATCCCTGCATATGATCAAGAGCAGGGCCAGAGCTTCAAGTGCCAGTCACAGAAGCTGGGGGTAAAGAGGGGGAGGGGCAGCCAGGAGGGGGAGGAGAGAGCAGAGCCTGTTGCAGAAAAGGTGTTGGCTGGCATTTAATTAAACGTCTAACGTGAGGACAGTGCAGTTCACAGCTCCAGGTCAAACTCAGGAAGCCAGATCCAAGCCTCAGCAGCTTGGGGTCCGAGTCAGCCGCCCCCTGAGGAAGGAGCAGGTCCACCAGGTCAATTAAGGGGACCGGTGAGCCTCCAGCCACAAGAGCTCTCAGACAGATGCAGGGCCTCGGGGATGGCTAACAGACCCTCACCTCATTATTCTTCCACCTCTGACCCCAGGCAGTTCGGTCGGCCTCGGAGGTCCTGGACAGCAGCTCCGCCCTCAGACTGACAGGAGAGGAGATCTCAGAAAGCACAGTGTCAGCTAACATTATTCAAGACTCGTGGCTTAACCACGGAGGGCTTCGCTCTGGGTTCCGGGGCTGGCCCTGTGGCAGCGCCAGGCCCTGCCACAGGCCCATGGTGGCATGTCGCATTTATGCTGAGCCTGGACCGAGACAGAGCGAATGTGGGTGGGGGGCCCCTGCAGGAATCCCCTCCCAAATTCTGCACCCGGCCACATGCCCCGCAGGGCAACAGTTAAAGGACAACCAGACTGAACACAAGCTTTCGGCTTTCTCATTTCCACCCAGTCCCAACACATAGAAATGCCAAAACTATTCAAGGGAAAAAGAATGTCTGAGGATCTCTTTACTACTTCCAAAAAACATGGCAGGAATGTTTCAGACAAAGCCAAATCATCAGCAATCTTGGCATTCAAGAGTAATTAACTCTACCTCCAGGTTCCTGTGCCGATATTTGTCTACTCACATAACGGGGCGGACTGCGGTCCTGGGACTCATGACCTGGTAAGTCGTGGGTTAGCCACGTCATCCAAAACGTTGCTGATTCCGTAAAGCTCCCCTCCCCAAACAGACGTCTCCTAGCACTGTCGTAACAAGTAATCACAGAAGGGGCCGTTTAAAGCTATAGAAATGGAGCCTTTCCCAGTGCTGGAGGGCAGAAATCCTAAGTCATGAAGGCTGTAAGTTTTATTACAAATATTTTCAAACCAGCATGAGCAACTGCAGTAAACATTCAAATGATACATTTACAGACACATTCGAAGCAGGCACATCAATAAAAGGTCGTGGTGGCGTGTCACAGAGGCACAGACAAAATTTTTTAGGTAATGAATGACTTGTGGAATAACTTGGAAGGGTTATAGATAAGTGGGAAGAAACCAAGGGACAATGGGCGACAGGAGAGGTACAAGGGACCTGGAAGGAACATTGCTGAACTGTTCTCTCCCACCGATTCCAATTTAACAAGCGTACACAACGAACATTTTAAATGGAGCTTTGGACTTGTTCCTGTCCTTGTGTTCTGAGAAATGAATCTTAAAATGAACCTTCTTTTTATGGGCTAAGAATGTGATGGAAGGGGCCTGGGGTATCTAACTTAGTCATCAACAGCTCCTCGATCTTGGGAATTTTCTGTTCTAGCGTGAAAACCTTGCCCAGAACTCAGACCGGCCCGGCTTGGGTCAGATACGCACCCCTAAACTAGTCAGCAGTGGTGAGGGCACTGGGAAACCCCGGGGGGCGGGGGGTGCCCCTCAGAGATGCAGCACGGGCGCTGCAGGAGAATGGACGCCAGGCTGAGAATGGCCCAGCAGAGCGCCACGCGCTCACACAGTCCCTGCACTGAACTTGGGGACTGATGGGCACTGCTCCGTGAGGACACAGACATTCGTGTGCAGACAGTTCTAACATGGCTGAGGGCGGAGTGACATGAGGGAGAGAGGACGGGAAGAGAGAAGCCAGTAGAACAGAAAGACCAAGGAATGTGCAAAAATTCAGCTGGGAATCACCATCTACAGCAACGAATCATGGGAAAACAAGACAGTATTTGCTGTGTACTTACTTTTCTGGTAAAGGATGTAAAATGTAAGGTATAAAGACTCAGTCCCAATCCTGACAGGGCTGTAGCTGCTATGTGACGACCAGGATGGCCCCCTGGCAGCATCGAAGGTTCCCGCAGGAACGACCACAGGCCAACAGGCATCCTTTAATGGGGGCAGGGAAAATGGCTAGTGCGTTTTCAAGTTTTCCCACGTTACAGGTAAAAATGAAAAGTTTTCTAGCTCTTGGGAAAACATGATTCAATTAAGCATACAACACCCTCTTTCCATGTGACAAATTGAGGATTTAAGTGCAAAAGCACCCAGGGGCATTTCTGAAGTATGTTGACCTGTCAGAAGGGAGGCTTTGAGGTGGGTTCTGTGGCCAGGGCCGCGGATACTCTTGGCACAGCGCTACCTCCCTCCCTTCACCGTGCCTGTATCAAGTCAAATCCCTAAGCACTGCAACAAATGGGCCTGTTGAACTTTGACGAAGTGTTGCTCAAATGTATTTGATCAGGAAACCCTTTTTATTGTGACAACAATTTGGTAAATTACAGACTGACTGTAGTTAGCTCCCTAAGTCCTGAGGGTTTCCTCCAAGATTTATTCATGGTCTATGTGGCATAACAAGGCGTTTTTGTCTTCCTAACTTGGTATGCCTGCTTTAGATCTTACAGCAATTCCTATTTTAAACCATGTGATTCGGTGACTGTGCTAAGTCTTCATTTGGAGATCTGGTAGCCACAGAATGAAAAAGTATATTCCTTAAACAGAAATGTTTTACTTAAATCTTATTTATTTATATTGTTACCCAGTATAAAAACAAGCATTTCAAAACACTTGAAGATGTTTGAAAAGCTGAGCAATAGCAAAAGCGCACTGAGCTGCCTGGGGTGGTCCTGCGGGGTCCGCACAGAGCCTCCAGGTGGACCCCAGCTGCAGGCACCAAACCCCGTTTTGTAAAGTCAACGGACTCAGAACAGTATCTGAAGAGCGAAATAAGGATAAAGCACGGAGCACCTTTTACAGTGTTGTAATCAAATATTCATCAGTTCTTCTGGGTGAAAATCTGGGAGAAGATGAAAGGCAAAACTGACATAAAAGGAGTTAAGTAAGTGTTCATAAAGTCAAGTATTTCTGGCTTGTGGAAAAAAATGATCAGAAGTCCTCTGAGGCAGTGAGACAGTTCACGGGCTCGCGGTCAGCGTCACCGCCTGCCGCGGCTGCCTCTCAGCTGTCCACCCAAGTTTTACGTCACAGTCTGGGGCACGAGGTCTCACACAGATGTCAGTAGGTCCTTCTTCCTTCTATACTCTAGGGCTTTTGCTGGTATACCACACAGTACTTTCGCAACTGGGTTATAGTTATACTTCATCATAAATAGAAATTAAGAAAGTCCATACTGCCAACCTGATCTTTGACTCTTCTAAATTTTATTTGTTGCAGGGTAAAGGGGGAAAAAAATGGGGGACATCTGTAAAAGTGTCAACAATAAATACATAAATAAATAACAAATTAAATAAAGTAAATTGTATGTGTTCACTAACCTGCCAATCCGAAAGATTTAGTCATTTGTAGAGGGCTTCCTCCTCATTTAATGTGAGTTAGAAATGCTATAACTTAATTCAGAAGCAATTATTTTTTACAAATTGGACTCAGACCAACAAAGCTTAGTATCTAAGTCAGACTCTAGGGGCAGACGATGGGCATAAGGCCAACTCTGCAGTGACATGTAAAGGTCGCTTGATGAAAAAGTTAAATAAATATTACTCTCAAAATATTTTGTCCATAAGAATTAGTTCACAAGTAAAAACTGAAATTTAATGAGAGGACTTTAGGCCTTTGGGCTAGCATCTCACAACCAGTAAGAGAAGCAATGTTCACATCGATTCTCCCGGAATCATCCAAAAGTTTAACCACTGACTTAACTCTGTCCCAGATGCTCCCCTCTCGGGAGCACCCTCTGCCCCCTCTTCTTCCCTCGGCTGCGTTGCTGTTGCCTCTCTCTCTCTCTTGAACCTCCGCCCTCTTACTCTTGTAACTTGTTTCCTGAGTCCACACAGCCCAGGTGGCTCGCCTCTACTGTCTCTGCAACTTTCTAAATAAACTTTTTCTTATAAAAAAAAACAGAAAATAAAGTACCCTGTACAAACCATGCAGAATAAAAGCTATGAGGTTAATAGAAACTGAATTTACAAATAAAAATGAATCCTTTTTTTTTGCCCCTGGACAAGACACACCAAGCATTTTTTACTTTCCTATTTCCAGAAATTCCATGAGACTCCAAAAACAAAAAAAGAAAAGTGAGGGTCAAACCTGCATTTCAGTAGTTGGTTACGGAAACCCTAGAAACAGCCCTAAGACACTTAAGGTACCATGTTGCCTCCTGAAGGAGAATGACAAGCACCCGCAAACACTCCTTTATCTACAGGAGCTTTAGTAAATTTGAGTAACTCATCCTGATGGTCTTTCTAGTGTTACTGTTTAGTAGTTCCAACTATTTGCAAAGCCAGTTCAGAGACTTGGTAAGTATTTACAGTGCCACCTGGGGACCTCCTTCAGGTTGGGCCGAGGCATTGACTTTGGACATGATCAGCAATGTGCCCTGGGGGCGCTTCTCCTCTGCGCACACGGGGAGCTGCGCAGCTGGGGGCTGGACTGTTACCGCTGCTCAGAAACGTCAGGAGGAAGAGCTGCCAGCTCAAGGGGAAAATGAAAATGGAGAGAGCTTTCCCACAGACATAACCACTCCCTGATGCACGCAGAACCCAAAGGAAATGGAAGGCCCTTTATTCCAGATGACCTGTGAGTTCAGAATCCCACATGGAATTTTCTTGATGCCACACGTCACACCCCTCTGCCTACTGAAACTTCGATAAGCTTTTAGCTGAAAAGGACAATGAGACGCAGGATCCAGGTGCTGAAGGGGGGTTCGGCAACATCATATGAGGTGGCTTTTGGGTTTGCCACACAGTCTGAGTTCCTTGGTCGTGAGCAGCTGGGCCAGGCCGTTGAGAAACATGAGAACGATGGTCATGACCATGACAATCACGTAGTGGCTGATGCTGTGAAGGAGAGAAAGAGGTTACGGGCAGAGAGAACACATCAAAGGGCAAGGCCAGGATTCCGCTGAGCAATGTTTCTTGATGTGCATGCAAATACTGAGAATTACAAAGGATGCCAAGGATTTTAAAAGAGATATCAAAATGTTAAGAAACAAAGTTGTTAAAGAAATAGTGATGAATGTAAGTAACAGCTGTAGTATGTTATGAAAATGTCTGATTGGTATTAGCAGTGGCTGTGTCTTTATTACCAACAGAGCTGAATTTCAAAATCTAGCTTTCAGAAAAATAAAAATAATGTTCCCTAATTCTTGGGCCCTGTGAGTAATATCTATAGACTCACCACGTCCACAGGTGAAGTATCCTGACATTTTAGAGCATGCCATTCCACACACTGACGTAAGTTAGAAGTACTTTGAAAGAACTACCAGCGTCAACAAAGAAGAATGTTGCTCAGACTCAAATTCAGCAAAGTCAAAGTTTTAGTCAAGGAATCTAAACAAAGGAGGAAAAAAGAAGAACCTGCATCTCTTTATTAATCTCAGAGTCAAAGCGACTGTCTCCCAGACTTTTGGAAAAAGCAGAAGAATAATGAATACTCTTAAAATTACCCAGTCTTGTTTCTTGTCTATCAGCAATAGTAAATGTTCAGTTTGTCTTTTTAAGCACAGAAATGGTACTGTCTACACACAGCATGGTTTGATGATAAATGTAGAAGTATGGGAAGACACTTAGCATGTAGACCTGACAAACACGCAATAAACCAGGGGCCTCCTGCACCAACACTAGTGCAGGCTGGTACGTTATTTATTGGCGGGGCCCAACGGAGTTGCATTTAACTGACTGCCATTATGATAGATTCCCATGTTTTACATCCTTCTGCGAAGGCGGGAGAATGAGTTGGCAGCCTGAAGGCAGGCAGGCTGGCTGGCGGGGGGCCATCGTTTCTCCCCCATCTTTGCCTCCACCCCCAGCCAGAGAACAGCAGCCCTCTTGGTGCTGGTGACAGAAGCCCCTGCCCAGGGACGGCTCCCGGGACAAGCCCCAGGGGACGTGTGTCCCTGTGGCTGGCAGGGCGATGGTTGGGTGTGTGTAAAACAAGCCGATTATCTAGCGCTATCTAGCGCAACCGAGATAAGGGAAGAGGGGAAGGAGGCTGGCAGGTCTCCCTCCCACCTTTCAGTAAATCCAATCCAGTGTCAAGTGCCGGTCCAGGCCAGACCAAGCCAGGCCCTGCCAGGTAGTCACCCACAGGCAAGCCCGCGCCCTGGCCCCACCTCCCCCACTGTCCAGGGCCAGGAAAGAAGGGCCTCCTACTCTGAACAGGTTTTCTTTTTATTTTTTGGTATTGTTACAGCCTTTAAGCAAGAGCCTCCAACTGGAAAGTGCCCCGGTTTGGTAAGGCCGCCTTTGGAAAGGCCCCGGTCAGGATACTCTTATCTGGAATGGCTCTCTAGGTTCATCTGATAAAGTAAATTTGAAGGAGCAAAGAAGAGTTGGCTGACTAAAAAAACAGAAATTAGACCTAGTTATGTGAAAAATCGGCATCTGGTCTAGGGCAGGCTCCTGAGTTAAAAAAAAAAAAAGAACAAACAAACAATAAAATCTGACCCTTAATTGATAAACAATATTAACATTAAGCAAGGTTTTTGAAACTTTTGTTTTCACTGTGAAAGTAACACGACAGGATCCTGGACCTGCGACGCCTGCCCTGGACTGCCAGGCCTAGAGATGGGGTGACGATCTGTCTTTCTCTCCCTTCTGCACCTCTAGGGTCCAACGCAAGGCCTGGTGGGCCTTCCATTAACATTTGTTAAATGAACAATTAAGGCGTGTAAGGTATAGTGAAAAGAAATCAGAAAAACTTCTGTTCTATATTACCCTGGCAGATTAAATCTGGACTAATGTCAGACTCTCCTACAACAGAAATCACAAACATATAATCAAAATTAAATGCTAAAAAAAAAAAAAAAAAATCCCAAGATGTTTAAAGAAACTAAGAGTCTCTACCAACATGAAGGAAAACTGGCCCCACAGGACACTAAGACACAAAGATGAGTGTCATGCTGGCATTCGAGGCAGTGGTCAGAACCGTGGCAGGGGACAGAGGCCCGGCCACCTGCAGACACAGGGACGCCGCAGCAGGCCCGCTGTTGGGGGCTTGTCTCACGCAAGGGCACAACATCCCCACCCTGACCGCACACCTGTGAATGGCTGTTCTCGGTCTCCCCATTGAAGCACTTAACGTCCTGTCTTCTCAAAGTTCTGTCACCTTCCTCCCCTCTGTGGAGGTGACTTATTTTACTAAGAAAACACTGAGAGAACGAAGAGAGCACCTCTCACCTCACACCCACTAACGCCCCACATCTGTGTCCTGATTTCCTCCCGCGCCTGCCCCCTGCATCATACACACCCCCCCACTTCTATTCCGGGTCCCACTCTGACTATCCTACTACTGGGGGCTTTCCCTCCGCCACTGTGCCCTCCTCCCTCTCTGCAGTGAGCAATCTTCCCCCACACAGCTGTGCCCTTTCCCTCATTCTGCAACCAAAAACTTTCCCAAGATCCCATGGTACCAGCCTGACGCGAGGCATTGGAAATTTAGTATGTCCAAAACCCAGTTCTTCACCTCCCATACCTTCTTCCACCCTAGAACCTTGTCCATCTCTGGAAACGGCTTCGCCACTCACTTGGTTACTCAAGATTGGAAAAAAAAAGAGTGCTGCCTGTGACTGTTTTGTGCTGTGCTGTGACTCCCAGCACATCCAATCCATCAACAAACCCTAGTCACCTCTTCTTCAGAATATTCTCACGCCCCGCCTCTTGTCGCGGTTTTGAACAGTGCTCCTAGTCCAGGCCGCCATCACCCCTCACTCAGGCCCGGCTACAGCCTCCAAGCCAGCCTCCCGTGCCCTCTCTAGGTCCCTGAGGTGCGGTCTCCCCACTAGGGCCACAGTGTGGTTTCAAAACGCGCAGCACACCAGATATGTCCCTGCTCAAGAGTCTAACGCATCGCCTTACGCTTGGAATGAGTTCCCAGGTCCTTACAAATACCTTCAGGGCCGTAAGTGACATCAGTGGGCTAGCTTTCTGAACTCTCCCTACCATGTTTTCTGCCACCACTCTAGTCACAATAACCTCTGAGTTTTCAGAAGTACTAAATGACATGGGGGAAATGGTTACTATAGAAAGTCAACTTAAAAAAACCCCAAGACACCAGGACCTTGGACTGTGTATGTCTGCACATAAATTAGGGCTAAAAGGGTCCACATTGACGTGGTGAAGCCAGGTCCTGAGACAATGAATTATGGGCAACTTTCTAGTTTTTTCTATGTGCTTTCAATATCTTCTTTAATAACCTGGTGGCACATTTTTATGTATGTGCTGCTTACAAATTATGGTTGGTTTAGCCATACAACTCTTAGGTTGCATTCATAAATATTCAACTCTATTCCATTTCTGTTCTTCACAGGGCACTTCAGAATCTATACCAGTTCCTCAGACCAAAATCCTTAATTGAATAAGCTGGGTTCATGGCCACAACTTCATATTCTAAGAAGGTTTACTCCCCAACCAGGGGCTGCCGTCTGGAGTCAGAGGTGTGATGAGCAAGTGAGGGAGTGCAAACAGCCCGATCTAGAGCCTTGAGGATCAAACCCGGCAAAGCCACCTGACCTGGTTTCATGGGCAGACCAGGCCAGGAGGTCAGGGGCCAGGTAGATGAAGCAAAGCCATGAGGACTGTAAAAGGTTACACTATAGAAAGTAGACAAAATGTGGCAGATCCATACACTGGAACACTGTTCAGCAACAAAAAAGAAGAAGGTACTTATAGATGCTGCATTACAAATAAATGCCAGAACTCATCACGCTAAGTGAAGCAGCAGCCAGACACAAAAGGCTATGTGCTGTACAACTGCTTTTACTGACACATCTAGCACAGGCACATCTGTAGAGACAGAAAGGACAGGCTGTACTCAGGCACAGGGGAGGTTTTGGGGGAGTGGAAATGCCCAGACACCAGGTTGCACAACCCCATAATGGTGCTGAAAAATCACTGAATTGATTTTTAAACATAACTTAAGTCACTTATAACCTTAAAGTGGATGAATTTTGATATGTAAATTATACCTCGAAAAAGCTTTTAAAAGAGATTACATTCTAGCCGATTCACATTTTTGTTGTTAAATTTGATATTGCTTTTAGGCCTTTTATCACTTCTACTATTTTAAATTGTTTCAAAATATTAAACATGATGATCTCTGAACAAGTTAAGTTTTGTATCCTCAGATTCAGTGAAAGCCTGTTCATAAAAGACATAGCTCACCATCTCCTTACGATGGCCGCACTGGCCAATTCTTGGCTCCCTTAAGCGGACCCCATCGGCAGGGACAGCTGTGACGCTCATCGTCTGCCTGCAATGGGGCTGTATGGCGTTCAGCTCTGTCTTAGTTCCCATCATCAAGGCCGGGGCCATCTCAGCACAGCAAAGTTAAAGGGGCACCAAATTTCAACCTGAAATGAGTTCAGCGCTTCCCGCCCTCCAGCCATGACCCTTTGACACCATTTAAGCCAGCAATTCTCAGGTGTCCCTGTGTGGTGGTGGAGAGACGGGCCGGGTGTGGAGGGGCTTATGGAATCACCAAGCAGGCCTCTGCGACCTGTACAGCGTGATAAAAGGCTGACTGTGTTGTCCCCAGTGGGGTACTGGGTACCAGAAGCAGGTCGTACTTGTCAGATGTACTGGGGAAGAAAAGGTTGAGAATCATGGATTTTAATAAAGCTTAGTATTCACGGTGAGAGTACAGCTATTTTATGGTACTTAGTAATTACATTTAGGAGGGTATTAATATATTATTGACCATAGTCATAAGTTTTCATTATATCTAAAGAGAAAAGATATTTTAGCTGTCATTCGTATTTTAATAAGGTATAACGATAGTGCACGTAAAAAACAATTCAAGTCCAAATCAGCACTACTATCAATCAAACTGCAGTTCACCT